ATTGCCTTGCATTCCACCTACTACCTGTGCCATAATTTAGCTCTATGTTGTTCTCCTATTTTTAGACATCTGAGTTGCTTCCAGTTCTTTTCCTGTTACATTGCACTATGCATTTGTGTCCATAGCTTATGGTCTAGGACTTTTTGAATGTTGTGGGCTTTGTAGCAAAAGCAGGAATATAACCTGGGAAAAGAAACTCTGTTGTTCTGCTTGTTTTGCCTTTTTTTTTTTTCCTCATTAACAGATCATAATTCAAAGGACTCCAATGGGTTCAATATTATATAAACAAAAACACTTTATTTTTATTAAAAACCAACCCCCAAATCTGAGCACTACTATAAAACAGAAAGATGGGTAGCTGTGTGGTTGGCTTGGTTCCCATTGCCTTTTGCGAATTAAAAAAAAAAAAAAACAACTTTGGATCAACATTTCCTCATAGGGTAGAGTGGTCTCTAGTCACTCCCTAAAGCTGCTAGCTAAAAATGCAAGTTGGTTCCTACATTAATTTCTGGATCTATGCTTCATGACAGCAGCAGGAGCGCTCCTGTTCTCACACGGGCAACACCCACATAATCACTTTGCTAATTGCCTCCTGCTGGCCAGGTGCTGGGGGGACCTTCTGTGTCTGAGAGTCTACGGAGCCTTTCTTAAAAATGTCAAGACGGAGCTTGTGCTTTCTGAGCCATCTCTCCTGTCTCACCGGGCAGGAAAAAACAACCGGTAAATGTCAGCTTTGGGATCCCATGGACCAGAGCTAAGGGAATCAGAACTACCCCCACCCAGGCCCTGGGCTTTTCGAAATCATTAACATTTCAACGTGGGTGATCCTGTGAACTGCTACCTTTCCTCAGCCTTTTTCTGAACTCTTAGCATTTTTTTTTTTCACCTTTTCATTGCATTGCAAACTAGTCTAAGGGAAAGCCAGTATCAAGTTTCTTATCTAGGTCACTTTTAGTGTACTGGAGCGGGAGTTTTGCGCTGTAGTTATAAATTCACACCACAGGGTGTAGTTTACATAATCCTGAGATGGTTACCATTAATTCTTCATAGAAGGAGGAATACAGTAATAATAGTTGACATTGTTTCAGTGGTCTGGTTCATCCTTAACAGGTCGGAAAGAATCATTTATATTTCTTGGCATTTTCATTTTCTTAGCTTTTCCATTCCTTTTTCTTTTTTTCTTCCATGGCTGTTGGCTGTTACTTCCAAGTCTCTTGGCTAACATGTGTGTACTGTTTTACACAGCTTTGAATGATGGTTGCTGTGGGCCAGGGAGTATTTATTATCAGTATCACCTCCCTCCCTCCCAAAGACTTAGCCCTTACTTGCTGGTAGCTTTATGTTGCTCGTATTTTGTTTCTAATTAAAACAATAAAAACCAAATATGGAAAAGAGGCAGTGTGGTTTTGGAACACGTACTCCAGAGTTTGGCGTTCCAGTTTCATGGTCTTGATTAACATACTTTACCTTATGAAAAAAATCTAAATATATTGCTATAGCCCAATTTCTATTCCAGTTCCATTATACACTTTCTCTATTGTTTTCTCAATTTACCTTTATATAAGGATACAATTAAATAATATAAATAAAGGATGTGCATTCAAATGATGCCAATTTTTATGTTGTTAGATGACTAAAGGACCGGGTGTTCCCCTGAGCTTGCGGTTCTAAGGACTGGCTGGCTGAGACTGTGCACATCCTTTGCAAAGAGGAGAGCAGATCAGAGTACAGCTTGTCCTCTCCCCAAGGCCCCACCCTATTACCCAAGAAGGTGAAACCAACCAGGCAATACACCAGAAAGAATTGAAGGGCCACTAGCTTGACTTACATTTAAGAGCCTAGACCACAGACTTAAGGTTCCTTTTGTTTGAGGTTTAAGATGACATTACTGGCTGAATTCCAGATCTTTGAATCTCTGCCTCATCCAACTCGGGTCACTTCATACCAGCCACTTCTCAGCCCAGACTTGGTAACCCTGGGCTCACTTCCCTAGCCACCACCGGCCTCCAAAATGAATTCTGGAGGTCTCAGAGCTGGATGCAGAGCTTTGATTCCCGGGGTGGCTTTCTGGGGAGCCTCTTTCACAAGTCAAAGTGACCACCTACCAGCTTCACAGCTGTGTGGGCCCACGTGGTTGCAGGGGCAGGCAAAGCAAAGAGGAAAGGCCTCCAGCACTCACCTCCCAGCAGCGGGCCATCCTGCCCTGTTAACTTCCCCTGGAACTCCAGACCTGGGGACTGTCTTTACTTGTGACTCGTCCCTGCAACCAGTGTTTTGTTGTTTCCTGTTTGTTTGCTTTTTTGTTTTTAAGCAAGGAATTGCTTCTTCTTAAAGATAAGAGAAAGATCTGGCAATAAAAATGTTGCTCTTCGCAAAGCTGTGAGTTCTATTCATTTGGGGATTCGTTAATTCTCATGACCTTTTAACAAAATAGCACTTTTGCACACTTAGATGAGACAACTGGTTCTAATGGAGAAAGAATTGCTGCTCATTTAACTGCATATATCTGAGTTGTCAGTAGTTCACACAAGTTCTCCATTACCTTGGAGCTGCCAATATATAGATTAAAACAGTAAGAAGACAAGCGGAAATGTGAGCTAATTCGACCTTGGAAATAGCAGTTTCCCTTCTTCCAGGCAAGTTCACTGTTTTATTCTTCTTATCATCAACTACACAGAGAAAGTGAAGAACAGAGTAAAGTACCTCACACAGCACCCAGCATCTTAAAAAGTGTTTATTAAATGTCAGCTCCTATTGTCATGATTATCAACAGCGCAAATATCACAGTTAGAAAATGTAGTAGTCATACAGATGCACGGTTCGGAAGGCAATTTGCCGCATAGTACTTCCTTGATACTAACATCATTTGCAGTGAGATTAGTGCACCTAGGAAGAGGCCATTAGGATTCAAAACCAGTTTTCTTACCTCTAGACCTGTGCCACAATAACCAGAGAGAAAGCAAAGGGTTATTCTCATTGCTGTAGTATAGCCTGGATTAAATGTATGTGTGTCCCCTCGATGGCTTGTGTTTGGACCTGAAGTCACAAGTGTATACTCAATGCCCCAGGCACCTCTACAGTTTTGGGGGGTTATATATATTTTTTTACTTGAAGGCAGTCACACAGACTCTCAAAACAACCATCTGTGCTATCTTCCATAACCTGGGGCCAGGTAACACAGCTGCTTCTACTTCACAGGCTCCTATATTGCTGCCTAAAAAGAGGTTTTGAAAGCCTTTAATGCACTTTAACATTCGGAGGAGGTGCCCTCTTTGTAATGCCTGTCTTGCTGATGCAGCAAGGTGAGAGACACCACTGCAAAGTAGGTGGAACCTGGACCTCCAAGCCAAAAAGACAGATGATGCATGTTCCCCAGATGTAGCCAGGTCGGGATTCTAGTCTAGATGCCATCAATGGTCAGCCATTTGACCTTGACTGTGTCAGTTGGTTTTGTATCTTCGTCTCTTCATCTGTAAAATGGGATTCTTAATACATTTTAGAATTGTTGTGAAAGTTAGTAATATTGCTTTTATACATAAGACAATGTTTGGTACATGGTAAGTGCTCATAAATGATAGCTTTATAATTATCATAATTTTAACATACCTTCTGAAGGTTTTTGTTTTTATATTGAGATATAACATGTCTACATCTTTATGGGGTAAAGTATTCTAATTCAAATCACAGTAATAAACACTTTCACCTCCTCAAATGTTCATCATTTTTATGTATTGGAACTTTAACCTTTTGGATTTTTGTTGTTGTTGTTGTTGTTGTTGTTTGTTTTTGGTACCAAGGATTGAACTCGGCACCTTGCACTTGCAAAGCAGGCAGTGGAACCACCAAGCTAAATCCTCAGCCCTTGGAACTTTAACCTTTTGAGTGTTCATCTCTGTAAATTGGGTCCAGTACATTGCTGTGAGGATTGGGCATAATGTATACAATGTACCACACTGCCTGTTGGACTTGAAGTCCTCAGTAAATATAATTACTACAGGCCTTCCTGTCTCTGTAGATCTTCTTGCATTCCTGTGGCCCTTCTAGGGTCAGTCACCCCTTCCTCTGAGCCTTGTCCTTCAAACTCAGAGGTAATATGTCAAATATACTCTTGTGCATATTACAGCTTTTCTTCCAGAAAAATACATACAGCCTTTCCTCTTTTTCTATGGTTCTAGCCTATTTTTGTGTGTGCATGTAACTTATTTAGCCCTTTATCAGCGGACTGCTTTAAAACATTTTGCTATTACAAGTTATGCTGTGGTGAATAATCTTATATGTACATCTTAAGTATGTGTGTGAGTATATCTAGAGGACAGATATCGAGAGCTGGAACCTTTAAGTCCCAAGGTAAATGGTATATGTATTTTAAATCTTATAGCTTTTACCAAATACCATTTTAATCTCACATTGGCATAGTGTAAGAGTACTTGCTTCCATTCTCTGTCAGTAGAGCATATTTTCATCCCTTTGTATCTTTGCCATATGTGAAAAAATATTTCAGAGTTCAACTTTAATTTCTTTCGCTATGCATGATGTCAAGAATCTTTTCATATGATTAAGAGCCACTGGTATTTCTTATTCTCTGTAAACCGTCTGTCCTTATCCTATCTATGCCTGTTTTTCTATGGAGCCTTTGGATTTTGCTCATTATTTGTAGAAGCTATTTTTATATTAAGAAAATTAACTGTTTGCGGTACAAATTACAATTTCCTCTCTAGATTGTTATTTATCTTTTAAAGCAAAATGCCAAGACTTCCTGAAACTGCTCCCTTTGCTCCCTTTCCCATCTCCACCAGACTGTGAGCCCCTGGAGGGCAGAGTCCCAGCCCTGATCACCTCTGTGTCCCCAGGCCTTGCCCTGTAAGAGCTCTCTTCAGGGGCTGTTGTTGAACTGAACTGAATGTCTGTATTCCTTACCCCACCCACCCTTCCCTTATGGCTTGGGAGCTCCAGTTCCTCCTCCATCAGAAAAAGATGACTTTTCTCATTGCTCACCACAGCCATGCACCTGTTTGGCCTAAACTGGCACCTGCAGCCGATGGAGGGGCAGATGTATGAGATCACGGAGGACACAGCCAGCAGTTGGCCTGTGCCAACGGACGTCTCCCTGTATCCCTCGGGGGGCACTGGCTTAGAGACCCCTGACAGGAAAGGCAAAGGAGCCACAGAAGGTAGGGTTGCTGCGTTGTCCGTGTTGTGAGTCCTCTGTGTCTCCTTTGAACTGAGGAGACCTCCATCACGCGCGTCCTGTGCCTGGCTCACAACTCCATGTTCTGGCGCTTCCTCCATCCCTCTGCACTCCACGCCAACTACATATCTACCTGTGTCTTCATTCTAGTTTCTTGTCATTGTGGACTTAGAGTGGGGTTTGGGCAGGGCTCACAGTGCTCAACAGTGTCCCATCCCATGCCTCAGGAAGCATTATGGGTGCTCACATTGGCTGTGGTGGCCATCTTCGCATGGGGTCAGGATGTGCCCAGCGGGGGAAACCTCACAGGATGAATGGGCATCCACTGAACAGACTGAAGTGTGGTTAGAGTAGATGTTTTACTATACTGGAAGGATTTTTAGATCTTGGGGTTTAATGAATATACCACTTCTTGTCTCCCATTTGCAAATCATGTGACCTAGAGTAAGTCATGTAATTTCCCTATGCTCCAGTTTCCTCATCTTCAATAATAATAATCGTTAGTGTCTGTGCAGCATGTTTAGTTCTAGCTTCTTGTCAAGCGCATCTCATTTCACATTTAATCCTCACAGAAATGAGAGGTAAAGTGTAATTATTTATGCCCATTTTAGATACAGAAACTATGAATCACGTGAAGTAATGACTTGGCCAGAGTCACACAGCCAGTCCATGGTGAAGCCTGGGATGTGAGCCCAGGCCTGTGATTCCAGGCCTCTTGTTCATTTCATAAACTTCCCCACTTGACCCAGTCCACAGTTAGAGGGCCATGAAGGAGAAACTTACGAGAAATCCTGTTGCACATTGTGATGTGGGCAATTTCTTCCAATGGCAAGAGTAATGGTGGTGTTTGGGGGCTTGGCATTCTTAAATGGGAATCCAGGACCCCTGTCCTGAATTTTTAAGGGTATTTCTAACATGGTATCAACAAAAATTCTTTCAGCCCAGAGTGGTACAGAATGACCAAAGCCAGCACTAGGGAAGATGTCTGAGCTCACAGCCAGTCTGGTAGTCATTCTGGACAGTGTGGCCGTCTTTTCTTCTATATCTGCTGTGACACGTGACCTGCATTGTCTCTCAGTGCCCTTTTAATCAGTAAAGTGGCTTTCTCTGCCTGCAGCCTTAACTGCGTACACCTTCTTTCTTCTTGACTCAGTCACCTATGGAGCAGTAGCCACTGCGTTCAAAGATTTGCCTCCCAGGTGTCAGTGTGGTTAATGTGGTGGTTTATGCTTGGTCACAGTTATCTCCTTATGATCTCTGAAGGGATGATCCTGAAGTCCAAAGTCAACTCTTTACCTGTGGCCATCTTTAAGGGAAGTGAGAAGTGGGGATACTGCCAAAGAGTCAAACTAGAACCTCTGCCCACTATTTTGAGGGACAAAGCTAGTCCTTTACTTTATCAAGATATTGAGACTTAAAACGTTGAATAATTCATGCTTTCTTTGGCCCTAATAGGATACAGAGGGATATCATAAGAATGGTGCCATCATTAGAGGTCTGGGTTCAGAGTCAGGAACCCTGAGTTCAAGTCCATCTGTTGCCCCTGACCTGTGGTATAAAGTCAAGCAGATGTTCTAGATTTCATTTTCCTCCCCTTCAAAAGGATGTGGAGCTAGATCCTCTATAGGGATCATCACAACTTGTAAATTCTACACATGAAATTAGTAATTGAATGATCTTATGATTAGTGACTCTTCAGAAGTTTTTCAAAATGGCCTTGTCCATGGTCCTACCTGTTGGCTTATGATGCTCACAGCAGGTTATACTCTCAGGTGCCAGAGGTGAACAGCGTAGAGGGAAGACTGTCTTTAGATCAGCATGTGAACACATAGACTTTTAAAATATGTTGGGGCCAGAGATTTAGCTCAGTGGCACTGTACCTGTCTCACAAGCACAAGGTCCTGAGTTCAATCCCAGTACCTGAAAAAAATAAATAAATATAAATAAAATATGTTTAACCCTCTAGGAATTGGTAAAGGGTCTCATTTAGCAAAATGTATTTTCTTTCCCCCATGATCTTTAACAGACATTCTTTAAGAAGGGGTTGGATCTATCTGAAATCCCCACTCTAATGAAATTAGTTTGTGGGTTGTTTAAGTTTCATTTAGTTTTTCCCAAGGAGCTTGAGATGCAGATAAGAGACAACATAAAATTGCATCAGCTTATTGGTTTATTTTAATTGGAGTATTTTTGCTTAAAGGGATTATCTGTCATTACTGATGCAAATGGAAATCCTGTTTACAAATCCCTTAAGTGCAATGCAGTGCTGGAAAGTGGTCAGCATCAGAAGCAATTAATGTGACAAAAATTACATCAGCCTCAAGGACAGAGCCACATGATTTATATGAGACCACATGATTCTTAATTTTTTTCTCCACTCTGGTCAAACCAATGTCTATTCAATATATATAT